CCAGGGTTGGGAACCCCTGCAAAGTGGATGTCTGTCACTATAAAACAGCACCAATCTTAAAAGTTTTACAGTATACTAGTTTATGAAACACAAGTTTATAATTTTTCAGAGTATCACCAATTTTGCATTACACAACTATTTGCATAAAATTATGTGGCTAATTGCAGGTGAAACTAGCAGCAGCAGCTAGCTGTAACACTTCTGAAGAAGGCTGAGGCACTTACCTCTAACAGAAATATATTCTTTCTGCTAAAATAACTTTGTAAAATGAAATACTGATGACAGTATAAAAGTGTATAAATTAACATTCACATCAACTGCTTAGACACTTTTTCATTGATGTTTTGTAAAGACGCCAACTAGCTGTTAGCTTGTCAGTGGTTTAAACTCAGTTTTTCCAAGCTAAGGTCATTCAAAGAGCTATTTTCAACAGACAAGATATTTATTAATTGTTCACAATTTTTCCACAGAACGCCACTTTAAAGCATCTGAACTATTTATCTAAGGGTTAGATTAATTTCAAACCACCATGTTTGTTTTTACACGCTCATTAAAAAAAAACATTGCAACTTACAGGAAACGTCCGAACATGTAGGCATCCAACAGTTTCCACAACTCTGACGACGTGGCCGTTGTAAAGAGCGTTACAGGCTTTGATGCCTGATTATTAGCATGGCGTTCATCAGTGGGGCTGCTCGAAACTCTTCTCTGTAGCAATGAATGAACAAGGTTATGTAAATGACCTCCAGGGAGTCCAGGCGCAGACCCTCGTCGCTAACCTTTCGGCTCGTGAAAGGCTTTACACTTCTCATTTGTTTGCTGGTGACGGCTTAACACTGGATTAAGTTTCCTAGTCAGAGTATTAATTATTTTACATTAGCGTTACCTCTCCGAGGAGACGTGCACGTGCAGCTCAAGAGTGAACTGATTTTTTTTTTTTTAGCTTAAACTCATTTTGCAAAACAAAGAAAGCACGCCTACGTTCATAATGACACCGTGTTAATACCAGACCATGTTAAAGACGTGTTCAACTGGAAATGATTGCAGTCATACACAAGGCAAATGTAATTTTATACTTCCTCGACATTGTTTAAACATTTTTAGTATGCAGTAGGTGCCATTTTGTAAGACAATCGGTGGAAAAATAACAATCTAGGTTCTGCACCAAGGTTTGTCTCTGGTGTACGGGTTCGCACAATGTTTGTTCACCGAGCGTATCTTATTGTTTGCTGTCATGGTTCTGGTCACGGCGTTGTTCGGACAAAAACCCAAGGTTTCAATCAGCCTCTATCTACCCGAAGCCGCGCGAGGACTCGTCCAAAATTGATGTTTGTCAGCGGCAGAACTAAAATGAGTGTATGATGGCGATATCAGCAGCCATGTCTTTGAAAACACCATTACCTCCATGTCACGCCTCAGTCACTCCCCATTGTGTGATGACTCCCCCGCCGCCCCCCCCACCCCGTCCCTCTCACCTCCGAGCTGATCTCCCGTACATGCCGTAGAAGTCTATTACAGCCAGCGTAGGGAACCATAATGGATGGCCCCAGAGCAAAAGCAGCCCCAATAGCATATCAATTACCCATCAGCACCTTCCTGGTTGGATGGGAGTGCTTATCCCCTGTCCCCCACTCACCCCCCCCCTCCAGCCCAGTCAATGAGATAATGTGAATATGCAGATATTATTTTGTGTAATGCGCAAATTGTATCAACTTTGCTGCCCACCTGTGGGATCTTCCAGCTGGTAAATGAGAGAAAGGCTTAGAGAAATATTTGTTTTGAGGAGTTTTTTGATGGGGGGGGGGGGTTTGATGTCCGTGAGCTCTCAAGGCAGCAGTGCGTCACAAGGAAATCAAGTGATTTCAAAGACTCATTTGTGCAGTGGAAGCCCAGCTGCTTGTCTGTTTATCTGCCTGCTGGCCACACATCTCGTGTCACCTCTTCACGATTCCCGCAGGTTAATTTGTCCCTCGGTCACAGTGCTGCCTCCACTGCTACTGGGCAATCAGTCTGGGAGGGGTGGGAAACTGGTTGGCACATAGACTGGCACGAGGACGTGCACAATGACACGTCCTCACACATACAGATGATTCAGCTGTGTGGCCTCTAACGGCCTGTTGAAGTGACTGATAAATGACAGTCACTTTGCAGGTTGGGGGGGGGGGGGACAGATGGAGCCGCACCTCCCACTGAGGCTGGCACTTCAGAGGGGAGTGTTTGGGAAAGGGGGTGAGGTGTGGGGTCCCTTACTCAACGCTTTTGACATTTTCCGTGGTTGAAATTAAAAGAACTTTGATCGTCACAACAAAGCTAGAATATAAAATATCCACAAAAATCAAACTCTCATCCAGGAGACACGAGCGTCTTTGATTACTAATCACTTTCATGTGCTTTGATTTTTCTGGGCCTGTAATAGAGCTGCCATCTCGTGTGTAGAAACTGATTGTCCCGAAGGCATACAGAGAAGAAGCAAAAATCTCTACTGAAGAAAATTAAAAGTAAAATGACAAATGTTTATTTGCAAAGAAAAGTCTAAAAATAAAGCAGAACTTTGAAAAATCTGAGCAAATACAAAAGATACAAAGCTGTAAAACAACCGGAGAACATGCGTCATCCACGGTGACACAAGCCAAACGCCGTTTCACTTTTCTAATGTCTTTGTTTCTTTCCATACAGTAAAGGTCCACAATCACAATTAAAGCTGTTTAAGGAATGTATGAAATGTTTTATTTAAAATGAACTACTGTTCCTAACTCCTACAACTGCTCAGATGTGATCACTTTCCCAAAATAAGTTCAAGTTGCGCTTGAGATGTCCATTTCCTGTCCTGGTGTACTATTTGTAAAGACTGAGGAAGGAGCTGCAGGTATGACTCTGACATGTTAGGTAGTCACAGAACTGAAATAGTTGGTATGTGTCAAAGTAAAGCAAGTATCTGACTGGGCTGCAGTTGTTGGCAACAGATTACAAGCAGCTTTCAAGGTGGAGTTAACAAAATAATTGCTGAAGGTCATGTTCTCTCCGTGCATACGTGGGTTTTCTCCGGGTACTCCGGTTTCCTCCCACAGTCCAAAAACATGCATGTTAGGCTGATTGGTAACTCTAAATTGTCCCTAGGTGTGAGTGAGAGAGTGAATGGTTGTTTGTCTCGTTTGTCTCTGTGTCCCTGTGATGGACTTGCGACCCGTCCAGGGTGTACCCCGCCCCTCGCACAGTGATTGCTGGACATGGGCACCAGTGACCCCCGTGACCCAAAATGGAATAAACGGGTAAAGATGATGGATGGATGGATGGATGGATGGATGGATGGAACAACTCAAGTGCAATTTACTTTCAGTAGCTTATATTAAAACCTGAGTTTTTGGTTTGTTTGACCATATTCATCCTTATTGACCCTTATTGCTTCATGGATAATTCATATTTAGAAATTATTTTCAGCAACAAAATACATTTACATCCATTTGGTTTGCATTTCTACTGTATTTGCACAATAGGTTTTTTTGTTTTGTTTCGGTGCCAATGAAAAGCCTCTTGCTAAAACCTGCAACCGTGTTACTTCAGTGTGTCTGCAGTGCGTTCTATGATAAGTGTAACGTTTTTAGTTTACCTTTTTGTTTTCTGTTTGTTTTTTTTTCAGCACCACCAAAGTTTTTAAGAACCCCCACTGACCAAACGGGCTTGCAAGGAGGCGTAGCGTCCTTCGTCTGCCAAGCCACGGGAGACCCACGGCCCAAGATTGTGTGGAACAAGAAGGGGAAGAAAGTCAGCAACCAGAGATTTGAGGTATTAGGTCTATTGTTCTGATGTAAAATGCTCGACAAAATGGGAATGGTTCAACACTGCTTTTGGCTCCGCTCGCACGCAACAATCCATTGCACCAAGACCTGTTGGCTTGCTTCTCGCCCCCAACATGCCACCACGCATTAGCGAGCTCTAATAATCATGCTGACCAGGCCTTTAAACTTGCATGACTTTTAATTTTTTTAAAAAGCACAAAAGATCCAGTGACAAATTTGTAATTGAATAAATTTCAGTGAGAAAGCATTTGGACTGAGGGGAAACCAAAGTGTGGTGTGACCCAGATCCATACATTAGCATCACGCCACATTTACGATTTTCATGCAAAAGGAAAGGGGACTTTCTTGACAAAAGATCCTTTTGCTTTGTGGCATCTTTATCTTAATGCATGTCTTACTCGTCTTATTTTGGCTGAAGCTTTGATTTCTGGTCAGCTTTAATCTGCACTTGGGCTCAGTACCATCGCCACATCATCGCAGAGCACTGATAAGATTCCTATTAATTTCTGTGTCAGTCCTTGGGACTATCGGGGTGTCAACTCCTCCCCCCTCCCACACCGACCCGCTCCAGTTGCCATGTTTGTTAGCTTCCGCAAAGCAGCAATGCCTTAATGGAGCTCAGGGACCTCTTCCCACCTCTTTTTCACATCTCTTGCCCAAAGAAATCTAATCTTATCAGAGTTCATGGCGTTTGCATCGCATGTTGAGATGAATGCTAACACATTAGTTTTCATTCATCTGTCGCCCCACGGGGTTCACTGGCTGCCGCAATTCTGCACCCATTCAATCATGCACTGCCACCCCATCTTCTAACAAAAACCCATTTCCTTTTGGAAGCCCCACAACTTCCTTTCTAATTTGCTCTTTGGCTCGAGCTAAGAAAGGAGGCTGTTGTCACCATCACCTGCTGACACCTTGAGTGCCAACACTGCTTTAGCTTGGCTAACGAAATGTTAGTGTTTTGTTAACTAACACATGCTCAGATATATTGTGTTCTTTAAAATGTTTGAAGGCCTCTGTGCGTTTGTGCGAATGTGTGTGCGTGAGAGAGCGAGAGAGAGAGATTGATCAGGCCTATTTTTTTTATTCAAACCTACCTCTATGCTTAAAAGAGATTGAGTTATGACAGATCTTTCTAAAATCAGTGAGTATACAACACGTAGCATGCAACGATAGCTGAACAAGCTACAACAAACACCTGTTTGTGAGCATTTTATGTTTCGTCCGTTCAAAACAGTCGGTCCTGTCTTTCGTACCACTATACTCACCTCATGGTACAAGTGTCTCTGTAACCGACTATCAAAGCCACCTTTAACTGTTTGTGCTCGTTTTCTGTCCCATTGACACAATCAAGTGCGATGCACTTTTCTTCAGGGGACTACATGTTAACTTTAAGAGTGGGAAACCTTGAAACTTAAATGTTCACCCTGCAAGCCAAAGATCTGATCAAAAAGTTTCCTGAGGAGCATCACCTTCCCCTTTCTTAAAGTTAGTCAGCCACATTTGTTAATTTATGAACTAATGCACAAAGCTACAGTTACTGAAAAGAGGCACATCTGAACACAATGTTTAGCTCTATCGAATTTGCTTAGTACCCACGGCTTTTCTGCAATTTAATTTATCACAGATCTATAAAAGAAGTTCAGTTCACAAACAATAAATTGACATAAAGGTACACAAAGTCACTAGTGTTCAGTGTAAGGTAGGAATAGCTTTTGTTTGTCTTAGGAAGCACATTTTGTCAGTCACCATCAGTGTTGTCGTTTTGTCTTTATTCTTCTTTTTTTTTTCTGTGGAAGGTCCCGAACCGATTGTGAACAAAAAAATCTCCTTTAACATATCCTGTTTCTCGCACCTGCAGGTAATTGAGTTCGATGACGGCTCTGGTTCAGTGCTAAGAATTCAGCCTTTGCGCACGCCCCGAGACGAAGCCATATATGAATGCGTCGCCTCCAACGGTGTTGGAGAGACGAGCGCTACCACCAGGCTGACTGTTTTACGTGGTAGGTCCTTCTCAACAACTCCCTAAAGCTCCTCTAAAAATGTTACAATACTGTGCAAAAGTCTTAAATTACTCCTCACTGTTTTAACCATTCTATTTTGCTTCCAATGAGCCAGACTTTTATAATTTAAGATACTTTGAAAGAAAGTTCTCAAATATTTGAAAACTTTAGGTTTTTCTTTTTTCTTTTTTTTTTTTTTTTTTACTGCTTTTCAACTTGTTTTCAGTCCATTACCTGACCTACCTGACAGTTTTCAAAAACACTACTTAACGTCCTGACTAAACTATTGAAATGAACCAGCGGTGTGTTGACCCACAAAAGACAACAAAAAACTATTTTAAATGGTCTCTTTAGCTAGTAACTAGCTAAAATGCTAGCTAGCTAGTTATAAATGTTACATTCTTTGTCCAGCATTTAAGCCATCTTTAACAATATCTATTAATTTTGTTACGAACAGACTTTCACACAATTTGTTAGCTAGTAATTAGTAAGTTAACTAAGTTAGCTATTAGGCAACTAGTAATTTATAATAGTTAGAAGCAGGTAACAAATTTTGTTTCTATTCTTCTAACCAAATTTATAAAATTTAAGAGAACCAGTTTTGTGCATATAAAACAGCTTATCAAAGACCTCATCATACATTGGCTCCTTAGGTAGTAAGTAGCTGAAATGCTAGCTTGATAGTTACAAATGTAACATCCTTTTTTGGCATCTGAGCCAGCCTTGACACTAGTCGGTGTTTCCCCTACCAGTAGTCCCTCGATACTTCGCGGTTCGACTTTCGCGGACTCACACTTTCGCCAGTTTTCAACGTAAGAGTCTACACGACAAATGATTGGCGATGGGGAAAGACAAGCCCCGCCCCTGCCCCTCCTTTCTCTTTCTGAGGCTGGCTGTCTGCTCTGCTGTGACAGACAGCCTCAGAAAGAGAAAGGAGGGGTGGGGTGGAGCCTGTTTTTCTCCGTCACTACTGCTCAGGGAGCAGGGATGAACAGATCAGATGAACAGAGAGTGGCTGAGTTACTCAGATGGACCCCTCCCCCCTCTTTTCTCTTTCTGAGGCAGCAGACAGCAGAGACACACAACAGGCGGGTGTGCAACAGACAGCCTCTGAAAAAGAAAGGTGTTACGTAACCCCCACGATAAGTGAGGGACTACTATATTCAACAGAACCAAGTGCCCCGCCTACCAAATCCCCCACCCCCCACGCAGCTCCGCCAATTCTGGATCGGGAGCGGAGATTAGCAGCTCAACTCGGACTCCAAGCTGCGACAACCGCGCACAGTACAAACAGATTGCTCAAACATAGCTACTAGGTAGTCAGTAAGCTAGTAATTTACAATAGTTGTAAATTTTTGTTAAAAATTAAATTCAAATTCGGTTCAATTAAAAAAAAAACTTTATTAATTCCAGAAGGAAATTAAATGTTGTAACTCATTGTATTGGTTGTTTCCATTCCTTTAACCAAATTTCTTAAATTCAAGACAGACCCTAAATCAGTTTTGTGTCTACATTTTAAACATCTAGTAAAAATACTAGCTAGCTAATTACTAGCTGTTGATAATGTTAGTAGCGACCTGTCATACAATTTGTTCCCTCAAACTGTTAGCTAGCAACTAACAAAGTACTAGCTATGTACAACTAGCTTTTTTCAAGCTAGTAGCATTGATAGTTAGCAGCCTGTCACAATGATGAAATTTACTACTGTTGTATAAAAAATAAAAGCCATGACAAATGCCCAAATAACTAAAAAAATAAGTAGTATTTCAGCAGCAATTAAGTGATTATTAGCTGAAAACTTGGCATATGATTAATTGTAAAATGATCCATCTCTCAGGTTCTGTGTCAAGTCTTTACAGGACTATTATCTGTTACGTAAACACACAACTGTTAGTTATTGTTTATGTACTGCAGGCCTGGCACTTCTTGTTCTCTCCTCCTCATTTTTAAGCAGACACTACACAACATGCAGCACGGCTGAGTAAAAATACTGGACAGAAAAATTATCAAAAAATAGAAAAAGTCCAAAGATTAACTTAAAAAGACCATTAGAAAGCCAAAAAAGATACTAATCTAGATGACTAAAAGATGACAAAAAAAGTCTGGGTCCTTGAGAACAAAGTATAAAGAAATGAAGGGTGTTTTAAAAGTTTTGCACAGTACTAGAGACACGATGCACTCAGAACTAACACAGGTAAGGTCTGGTAATTTCTGTCCTCTCTTTTGTCCTTTTTTATTTGTCATTGTCAACTATTTTCAACTGTGGTTCCGCTCACGTTGTGCATTCTGACTTGATAAGATTTAGTCCATTAGCTGTTTAGCCAAGTAGGTTTTCTTTCTAAGTGACTTAAATCATTTGCATACAGATTTCTGACACAATAATTAAGATGCCAGTTAAATTATGCAAATAGCCATCCTTTCCCTAGCCTGCTGCGGTTTAATGAAAAAGCTCAGCAATCATTTTCAAATCAGTCATTTTCCATCTCTGCTTAGATATTTATTTGACCGTGCAGACTGTTTATTGTTTCTAGGTATGTTTCAGTGGCAGGTTGATGCAGTTGGTAATTTGAAGAGGTCGGTGGCTGTTAAAAAGGTTTGTCTCTTCACAAACGGGCAGGAAAAAGGTCAGGAACCGTGTTTACTTCCAGTGAGCAGCCAGGGCAGAAGTCAGGTGGCAAACATCAAGCTGGATGATGGCGTCTCTTTTACAAAGAGCAAGCATTTATCTTGATTGCACACAACAATTCCTTTCAAAGGCAAATTTGTGGTGACCCCGAGCTCAAAAGACTGCGTAATATCTCTCTAAAACATGACTTGTTTGGCCGCGAATGGAGAAAATGGCCTTAGAATTTGTTTTAGGGGGAAAAAAAAAAAAAAAAAAAAAAACAGCTTGAATGAGGTGCGCTCCATTATGCTTCACAATTACACAACACAGCAGATTGAAAGGGGTGCCTCCGTCCTATAGAGGAAAAAGCTGGCTCTGCGGTCTCTGAAGCCCCGTCCCTTGCTGCTTATCTCTGCAAAGAGCCACCAAAAGGCCCTGCGCACCGTCTCCAGAGGCCGATTGAAAGAGAAAGGTGGCACGCTCACATGCAGCTCTCCTGTTTGCTCTGTGTGTGTAGAAGCGTGTGCCGGTGTGTACGTCCTCTTACTCTCATGCAATACTGCGCACAATCCCCCCCCCCTTTCATTCTCGCTCCGTCTCTATCCCTGTTCCCCCCCTCTCCTTCACACATACACACTCGCACAGCTGCAGATAGCTGAGGGACGGATAGAAGCTGCTCTTGCCGGCTTCACGGCCTAGCATTAGCATGTTTATTACTATTTCCATTTTGCTCTTCTGCTCTCTCTCTCTTTTCCCATCAGAGTATTGAGGGTGAGGAGAGACCTATCGGCTTCCAAAAAATAGAAAACTAGAACCAAGCTTCTTTTCTTTTTTTCTCCGCTGCTGTTGTGAAAACATGAAGTTGTGCTCCATCACGTTCCCTCCCACGTAAACAAAGCACCGACGCTGTGCAGGATTCAACAAACAATCGCAGTTTTTATGTAAACGAGGGCTAATTTTACTAATGTTTATCATCTGCTTTCAGGAATCCTGACTGAGCAAAGTGTCAGGAGGTAAAATATTCAATAAAAAATGTGTTAACACACAACAAGGCTGTTAATGTAACGAGTCACAGCTCGACAACAAAACAGAAATGAAATGCTTTTTAAAAGAAATGCACTGATTATAGTTTTCATGCCGATTTAGATTTTTGTCAATCAGTTTTCTGCCAATTGCGATTTTTGTCCACTCTGAATTATATTTAAAAACTATTATTGTCCGTATGCACAATATTATTTTTAAAATTTCTGGGTCATTTATTAAATTTGACATGTTTTGTAATAAAACAGTTAAAAACTACGATGTCAGCTAAAACATTAAAAACAAAATGTCAAATATTGCTATTGTCATTAACAGTAAGTAGTCAGAGGTCAACAGTGGGGGGTAAAAATCAACATTTACCAGTAGAGATGCACCTGTTGTAGTTTTTTTAGGCCAGTTTCTAATTTTTGCACAGCTCTTGCCTGTTGATTCTGATTTTAGCCAATGTACATTTTCTCTTCAAGAGCTATAATTGTTGGCATACCAAAACATTTTATTTCATTTTTATTTCTTGCTCAGTTAATACATATTTGTGTTCATAATAAAACATATAAATAAAATTGGTATGGCATGTTTTAAGAGATAATTTGCACCATTGTTATAACAGTAGTTAGAGCTCAACAAAGGGCTAAAACACATTGATCAATAGGAATACACTTATTGCTTATTCAAGGCTGATTCCAACTTTTATTTATTTTTGTATTTATTTTATTTATTTATTTTGGGGGGGTTGCTTTTGTCATTTTTTGATCAGTTGATTTGATTTTGGCAAATTTAGATTTTATTAAAATAACTACATTTAACAGCATGAATTTACATTTAATTTCTAGTTGATTGAATAGATATGTGTGTATTTATAATCAAATTGTAAAGACAAAAAATCAGCTATGACACTAAAAAAATAACCAATATTAAAATGTATAGTTATCATTAATACCAGTAACATCTTGATTTTAAAAATATATACATATATTAAATATATTATCCATTGGTAATTATTAAAGATGCACTAATTATGGTTCTCTAAGTCAATTCCAATTTTTTTTAACCTTTTTTTCATATCTATTTTTTTAGCATTCTTAAGAATTAT